TCAGAGGCCCATCTGTGTCTTAACACCTGTTTTAATGCTGCTTCAAATGTCAGAAAGTCATTAGAACATGAGCAGAATGAACTCTGTACACTGAAACACTTCAGAAATGCTTTAAATCTTACTGTTATTGTTAATCAATAGATAGTTTAAGGGTTTGTACTAAGAGTTGAAGAAATGATGCATATAATTTCTATTTTTCTAATTTTGTAACTAATTCTACTTACATAGACACATTACTATTCATAAGTTTTGGCTCAGAAGATTTCAATGGTGATAATATCTTTAATAACATTTATACGCGTATAGTAAAAATGCTATAGCTCTCACATGGTCACAGACGTAAGCTAAGCAGGGCTGCGCCTAGTCAGTACCTGGATGGGATATCAAAAGGGAAAGCTAGGTTGCTGCCAGAAGTGGTGTTAGTGAGACCAGCAGGGGACACTTAAGCCTGGTTTATACTTCTGCGTCAAGTGACCGGCGTAACTCACGGCGCAGGCAACGCGCGCAGCTGTGCATTTATACTTCTGCGTGCTGTCTCTGTTGGTCTGCTTTAACACTTCCGAAACGCTAGTTGGCAGTGAGGTGTAAATTTGCTCATTTTGAGGCAGGAAACGGCGGACGTGCAACAACTTTAACTATGAGGTAAACACAAAACAAAACTTTCCATCAGGAGCTCCTTCACGGGACTCCACACTTGGCAACAATCGCTCCATTGGGCTCGCGTCCAGCTCGCGCCATTCGCGCGGCTCTCGGTCCCACCCAGACTCGTCAGCGCTACCAAGCCGACCAATCACAGAGCTTGCGCTACGCGTCATTGCGACGTGTAGTTACAATTTTTGAGAGGTGCACGTCAGCGACGCCGACGGCCACGGCGAAGGGCTATGTGTCAGCGCCGTAGCATATCCCGGTGTTTGACGCAGAAGTATAAATCAGCCAACTGCAGCCTGTGTGGGTCCTAATGCCCCAGTGAAGTGAAGGGGACTCTATACTGCTCAGTGAGCGCTATCTTTATGATGAGACATTAAACCGAGGTCCTCTGTGGTCAGTAAAAATCCCAGGATGTCCATCACAAAAAGTGTAGGGGTTTAACCCGGCATCCTGGCCAAATTTGCCCACTGGCCTCCTAACCATCCCCATATAATTATTGGCTGCATCTCTCAGTCTTCTCTCTACCAATCAGCTGTGCGGTGTGCAGTCTGGCGCAATATTGCTGCCCCCCACAAACCCCCCCCAAAAAGGTGTAAAGCGCTTAGAGTGTCCTGAAAAGCGCGATATAAATGTAAGGAAGTATATTATTTTTTATTATTATTAACATTATTATTATTATAACTATTGTTATAACTATTATTCATTTATTGACTGATTTTCTTTTCAGTTTAGTCACTTTATTCATCAGGAGTTGCCACAGCGGAACGAACCGCCAACTCATCCAGCATATGTTTTACATAGCGGATGCCCTTTATGACGCAACCCAACACTGCAAAACACCCACACACATACACTACGGGCAATTTAGCTTTGTTCAATTTACCTGTACCGTATGTCTTTGGACTTTGGGGGAAACCAGAGCACCTGGAGAAAACTTACGCCAACACGGAAAACATGCAAACTCCACAAAGAAACGCCAACTGACCCAGCCGAGGCTCTAACCAGTGACCTTCTTGCTGAGGCAAACGTGCTACCCACTGCACCACCATGCTGCCTATTATCATTATTACTTAAGAGGATTTAGATTTTAAATAAATGCTGTTCTTTCTTAAAGTTCTGATATAAAAGTTAAACAATCCACAAATATATTAACCTAGTTTCAACCTTGGAAATAGTAAGGAAAAATAACATGACACTGAGGACTAAAGCAATTAATGCTTAAAATGCAGCTTTCTACTTCAGGAAAAATAATACATTTTAAAATATACCAAACCAAATAAGTCTATTTGTAATATAAACAAAATCTTTCAATGTTTTCTTTCAAAAATTTGCTTTAAATATTTAAAATCCCAAATTTTGAACAGGTGCATATATTTTTTCACTGTCTGTAAAGACTTTTGGACCCAACAGTGAGTATGAATGATTATGTAAGGATTGGTGATCCAGAACACTTCTCAGTTTAGACATTAACCCTCCTTTTACAGTTTTTTTACATTTACAAATTCCTTACTGCTGCATGCACAAGAATGCATTAGCATATAATAAACAGAGTTCTGTTTGTAGCACAAACAGGAAGCATAAAAACAATGCACTTAAATTTAAAAAAAGATGCCATCAGCTTTAGGAAATTCATTGACAAAACAGCACAGGAGAGAAAACAACTCCTTGGTGATTTACAGTGTGTGCTTGTGTGTGATAGATATGAACTGAAAGGAACAAGTGTCAACATTTAGTGTGCACATTGTTTCTCCACTCACACACATACAAACTAAGCCTCTTTCTCATTTCCACACTTTCCTTCCCCTCTTTTGCAACCCTATTTGCTCTGAGAGTGGAGACTGAGTCACATCAGTAACGATTCAAACACTTGAATGCTATTTTCCTCTATGAGCACACAAACAGCCCAGAAAAGTCCTTGAAACTTTATGGCAACTAGGACATCTGCAAGTAACATGCAGCAAATGGTTCAGATGCCTTTTGAATGATAAAGCAAACACACTTCTTCAAATAGATGCTATCTGATCTACAACAACACCAGAGTGAGTCAACATGTTTTTTTCATTAGTTACACACATTAGTTTCAGAATCAAAAAGAATTTTATCAACTAGTTTGTGAGTGCTGTTAAACTTGAAAATCCTTCTATGTGAAAGTATGTCAAATGTATTATTGGTAAAAAGACAAGAAGTAATAATTATTAGAGCATAAACTAACCTTTCTGGTTCAAGAACAGATGAAGTTACTCTTCTGATGAACTGAATATTATGTGACCTTCTCTACTGTCCGCTTACCACAGGTGATTAACACACGGCCAAAACATTGCTCACTTCTTATATTCTGACTCTAAATGCCCCTCCCCTTTTCTCTCTCTCTCTCTCTCTCTCGCTCTCTTTTAAACAGTCTAAGCACTTGAGTCCTGTGAATGCGCAATGGTTTTCAGCATTACTGTATTTTTGTAAGTATCAGACATTGTAAACAAACAAGTTCACTGGACAACACGCAACATTTATCTGACAATGATTTAGGTGAGCAAGATGCACCAATAATAGCACTGACAGATGGCATGGATTGGAAGAAAATAAGAAGAATGTCTGTTCATGCAGCCTTGGAGGGACACTTGTTCCCGAAAATTGTATATAGTCAAAAATGTGTCATTCTGCTCTGTTTATAGTTTTAGGATTACCAAAAGTTATTTTTTTTAAGTTAAATTCAATTAAATTTAATTCACCTTTATTTGTATAGCGCTTTTACAATGTAGATTGCGTCAAAGCAACTTCACATAGAAGATCATAGTAATTTTTTTAAATGTTTTGGCTGCTCTTTCTAAGCAGACTCAACACCAACATCAAAACAACTTAAGTTGGCCAATCTAATAAAAGAAGTCTGGCTTTATTTTTTACATAAACACCAAACATAACCTCCATAATAAACATTTAGGGCTCTATTTTAACGATTGAGACACAAAGTCTAAAGTGCATGGCACAAAATCATTAACAGAAAATCCAAATCCACTTTTGCTATTTTAAGGATGGAAAAATACGCATTGCACCCTAGCACATGGACTAACAGGGTTGTGGTTATTCTCTTAATGAGCTATGGGTGTCTCATCTCACATTATCTTTAAGACTCAGTTGCGTCATGCCATGGCGCATTTGCTATTTACATGGCGGACTTTGTAAGTGGAAAAACTGAATGCTTTACTAGTGAACAGTTAAGCAGACCATCTGCAGCTTGAGGATAAAGAACGAGCCTCCTCCATTTAGCCTCTTTATTTTACTCTAACTCCTTTACTTAACTCCTTTACTTTTGTGGACAAGGAAACGGTACTGTACGCACTTAACTAAAGACATCCATTAGCCGACAAATTTAATTTTGTTTGTTAAGTGAAAAGATTTGTTTCAAAACTATTTCTAAATTCAGTTCTAATTTCCAGCAAACAAATAAATGAACAATAATAACAAAGTGTGGTCAAAAAACTGAGCTATATCCAAACACACATCCTATTCTTATGGCCCATATGGTGATGCAGACATCTCCAAAACCTGACAGGTGGACAAATCTGTAACATTTTAATACTTTGTTTTTTATATATGTAAAGATATTTGTGTGTTGTTGTACATCCTGTGTGTATTAAGCAATGTGTACACATTTTGGACCTGCATAGGCGCATAACTAACGCACTCTGTGCTGGACTTTAGACCTGCTTTCAGTTGGTCAATGGCATGGTCTATTTCAGGTCTTAAAAAAGCAATGCACCGACAATGCGCCTTAACACACTTGCTTTATAGACCTGCACACCCATGAGTCCACAAAGTGGCACAAAGGAATTTACTATTTAAACAACGTAGTGCAAAACATGAAAATTAGGATTGCACTTGTCTGAAAATAGCAACAAATTGCATCAAACACATCTTGTGCCTTATTGCATGTATGATAGGGCCCTCAGATTTTAGTGGCGAAATAGTGTGGCATAAGAGTTGTGAGCGTAATAAGCAAGTATGTTGGTTAAACTTTATTTCAAGGCTTGATTCTCACTTTAATATTCCATTAAATAAAGGTTTCCACACAATTCCTTCATGTTAACTTTAAGTGGATTGAACATAAAACAAAAAGCACAACTTAAACTCATACTTTTTAGTTTATAAATAGTTATTAATGAAGTGGTTATGTAGATATTGGTTAGGATTAAGATGTACAATAAGATCATGCAGAATATGTGCTTTATAAATAAATGTAAACAGCCAATATCTTATGTAATAACCCAGTAGTTAATAGTAAGAATTGGTAAAAATAGTTTCAAATCTAACAACAAATGTAAATCCTCATTTATATTTACATTAATATTTACACTTACTTTATGCACATTGGTGTCCAGATCTTTGCACAGAGCGGCGACTTTCACATTTGCTGTGTATCCAGTCTGCTGTTCAAACTGATACCTATAAAAGACATGCACGTTATGGCTGAGAATGAGTGAAATACCACACCGCTATGCTACATGATCTGTGAATGATAAACACATAGACATAAACATTGTTCTGTGGTGCAGTCTGTGTGATCCTCACCTGTTGAGCACAGACACAAGTCCATTGGATGCTATAATGACGTCCACCACCGCCTGCAGTACCTGTTGTGGCAGATTGGTGGCGCTCTGAGCATCATTGCTATTGACACGCCAGCGACCCTGTATGCTCATCTGCAGAGTATGTGCCACTGCACGAAGCTTCTCCGTCAAACTTCGCAGACTGTCACCCCCAACACTGTAGGTCTGTGCAGACATGGGGAAAAAAAATAGTGATTTAACATTTTTAAAAGCACTTCTACAACATCCCAAATAACAAAAGTTCACCAGGAGTGTTTTATTAGCATGAATATGGCAAACTGTAAAAACATCAAAGACAAATCTCCACTTCCTTTCACTGTAGAGAAGGGAAGCCAAAATGTCACAGCTTGTTTGCTGCCATTTGTAGCGCAGTGGTACCAAAATCCCACAGACACGAACGCAAAAACACTCATCGTACAATTGCGATATAATTCATGAAATAATATGTCACCTGATTTTTGCGAAGTAAATGATACTAGGCCTGTCACAATCATCAACATATTGACTTATCGCACAACACATGGATATGACCACAATTACTTTTGGTGATGCAATATATAATCGCCCATAAATAAAATACCTACAAAAACCATTCTTAAAACATTTTAACTGATTGTGCAACATCCCTATCAAAAGTGTCAGTGTTAGTATGATTAAAAACACTGCAGTATTCATTATAAATTACTTTAGTATATTTTTTATGTGGGTGTCTGGCGAATGAAAATAGATTTAATATCAGATATGACACCCTCTATCACTTTTTACCTTGCACTTTTTTGTTAAAATGTATTTTTAGATATGCGTTTTTACATTTCACATGCGTTTTTACATTGTGATTCCAATGTCTAATTAATATAACTATGTCGGCATAATAGTCTAGTGATTAACAAGCTGAATATTCAATATTCGAATTTCGACAGATTCAAATCCCGGCTTGAGGACATTTCCCAACCCTACCTCATTCTTTCCCTCCCACTTCGCTTCCGGTCTGATTAATGTCCTATCTAATAAATCTAAAAAGAACAAAATTAAATCTTCAAAAAAATTTTGGGTAGATTTACTATAATTGAATGAAATATTTTTAAGAATGAAAAATGATGTGTTCTTTGAAGAGTGCACTCATTAGCACATAATGAGTGGCATAAAATGGTCTTAAAATGACAATAATATTGCTTATTGCTAAATATTTTGGTGTAATATTTCATTCAACAAATAATACATATTGCAACAGGCCTAGTAAACGTACAGTATATCCCAGCATACTGCACCACATATGCAAATATATTCAAAATGTTTGCAATTTGATTGGCTGATAAAATCAAGATCTAATCAATTTTAGCACCAATTTTCTTTAATAAATACAACATTTCCAACAAAACATGAATTCCCCAATAAATGTGGGGAAAATGATATCTACCAGTTTAACACAGTAAATTAATTGAGAAGTGGTGCATTTAGAATTTTTAAGTGAATGGCCTATGAGTGTAAATGTATGTGCACTGAATTCCAACATAGTAAAGATGAAGTCCTCAGAATTACAACTGAAAATTGAGCAAAAATTGTTTTAATTTAATTGTTATTGTTCTAAATGTACTCAAATGGCCTCCACAGTCACCAGATCTCAATCCAATAGAGCAGGGGTGTCAAACTCAATTCCTGGAGGGCCGAAGCCCTGCACAGTTTAGTTCCAACCCTGCTCCAACACACTTACCTGTAGGTTTCAAACAAGCCTGAAGGACTCAATTAGTTTGATCAGGTGTGTTTAATTAGGGTTGGAACTAAACTGTGCAGCGTTGCGGCCCTTTTGGAACTGAGTTTGACACCTGTCCAATAGAGAATAGGGATGTGGTGGAACAGTAGATTAGCATTATCTGCAGCCAACAAATCTGCAGCAACTGTATGATGCTATTATGTTAATATGGACTAAAATCCTCAGGTATTTCCAGTACCTTGTTAAATCTATGCCACAAAAGATTAAGGCAGTTCTGAAGGCAAAAGGGGGTCCAAAACGGTACTAGTAAGGTGTACCTAATAAAGTGGCCAGTGAGTGTACAAATATTTATACATTTTTCATTCAGCTTCTACTTTTAAGCTTACTCTGAAATGTCATAACCTACACACACACACACACACACACACACACACACACACCCTCAACATCAGCATATCTAATGTCTTCAGTTCCCTCCAAATTTTCAGCGACATTCGTCTCTATGACTTCTAAAATTGAGCTTTGCAAACTTAAATGCAAAACAATAACTTCACTCTCCTGCTATTTTCTCCATAGAAAATCATCTGCAGTTGAGCCTGACGTTTGCTGTTACGACACACAGGGAGTTCTGGCACCATCAGGTTCGCATTAATCCTCCCAGCGGGCAAAATATTTACAGCACATGGAGCACATCCACTGTCAGCTCAGGGGAAGCTTCAGTCAACAAGCCAGGATCACATTTATGCTCAGAAAGTAAAGAAAAAAGACAGCACTATTCATAATTTCTTCACTCTTGTATAAACCCATGACTTTGCAAAGCTGAGATGACATAAGACAAGCACAGAAATGGAAGCAGTTTGAAAAATAAAAATAGGCCAGGCATTTGTGGAAGAATGTTCTCTGAGATTTGGCTTGGGTTTTGTTAGTGTTACAGCTAAAGTCAGCAGGGTGAGCAATTCTCAAAGACGTAATGAAATTCCCTGAGAGAGCGAGAGTAGTTTGGTCACAGGCTAATGCTAAAACCATTCATTCCGATTCTATAGGTGTTTAAATAAAGATACTGACTGATTTAAGTGCAAAAACATTCCTCTACTCCATAACAGAGGCTCTATTACAGGCCTATGATACAGTACATAGACTGTCATACTAATAATAGTCATAGTAGGACCGAACGATATTGGAAAAATGTAACATTAGGATTTTTAGTTTAAGTTTTAGTAAATAACCTATCATTTCACAGGCCCGTAGCCCGCCTATTAAAAGAGGTGGTTCTTTTTTCTCAAAAAGTTGAGAAATTTATTCATTAATTCAATTCTTTTTGGCTTAGTCTCTTATTAATCTGGATCACCACAGAGGAATGAAATGCCATCTTACCAGCATGTTTTACACAGCGTATGCTCTTCTAGCTGCAACCCATCACTGGGAAACACCCATAAACACAGTCACACACATACACTCCAGACAATTTAGCTTACCTAATTCACCTATAGCACATATCTTTAAACTGTGGGCGAAAACCAGAGCACCCAGAGGAAACCCACGCGTACACAGGAAGAACATGCAAAGTTGCAAACTCCATTCAGAAATGCTAATTGGCCCAGCTGAGGCTCTAACCAGCAACCTTCTTGCTGTGAGGAGAGCGTGCTTCCCACTGCGCCACCGTGACACCCTCATCTCAAAATATGAGGTTCAAATGCTGCATATTGAGGACATTTTAAGCACTAATTTGTGCTGGTTTAACTTGTCGGGTGGTTATCATTACAACACTTTTGATGCAACAAAATACAATTTTGTATTGTATTTTCCTACATTTTTGTCAAAGTGCTAATCATTTTTTTTTTTTTGTTTACAAAAATGTATGTTTATTTACAAATGTGCATTTAAACTGTAAGTCATAACAGTTTTATATATAATGTAATGAGATTAGAATTTTAGAAATATGAAAAAAATACTTTTTTAAATCCTTATTTATGATCATCCATCATAAAAAACAAACAAACAAACAACAACAAAAATGGGAATTTTATAAAACGTATAGACAAATAGCCTATAAGCACCAATATTCTTCAATAAATACCATATTTCTGACAAAATATGATCACACCATTAAAATGTGGGGAAAATGAGATCTACCGTATTTGCACAGTAAATTAATTAAGTGGAGGATTAAGAAAACTAGTTTTAAGTGAATGGCCTATTAGTGTAAATGTATGTGTGTTGAAATCCAACATAGTAAGATGAATTCTGCAAAATTCCATCGGAAAAATTGCCAACATTTTTTCCATTGTCCTAAATAATGCAAGTCTAAAACATTAAATATACAAATATTTAGATTAGAATTTTAAAAATATGAATAAATACTTATCTTTAAATGCTAAATTAATAACATCCATCATAAAAAAACAACAAAATAAAACTGAGAATTTTTTACAACTTATAGACAAATAGCCTATAGGCAACTAACAAACTGGCCAGCTCATTCCCTCAGTTCAAATTTGATTTAAATAATAAAAGCCTTTTTTACTGGTTATTCTTCCTACAGCCTCCTTCTATATGTTAGTTTTACAATTTATGATGGCATACTGTCAAAAATGGAACAAATGAGCTCATATAGGGCCAAATTCTGTACTTTGTCAGATAGGGGTGGGTCTTTTGAACCCCCTGGCTATGTGCCTGTTTTATATTGATCGGACTGTAGGTGCATCTGCATAAAACAAAATAAATAATCTACAAGCATAGATAGATTGCATACAAATAAAATAAACAGCTTTTGATTGTTTTTAAGGATCCTAACAGTATTCAAGTACAGTAATTGATTAATCAAATGTAAAACAAAACTGCATAGTCTCTGTTGTATAAATAATTCATTAAAATGAATCATTACTAAAGTTATATTGTTATACAGTTTTTAATGCCTGAATGCTTTGAAAATAAACAGTCAAAAACACAAGCATATGATAAATTATAATCCAGACTCAACAATGCATATCCTGCGATGTAACTATTATGCATGTTCACATTGCAAGATCAATGCTAAAATGATATATTGTGCATAGGGATGCTCGTTTCGGTTAATTTTGCTAACCGACAATCACCGCTCATTAATCGGGTATTAACGGTTAATTGGTTAGATTAATATTAATTTTATATTAAACAAATTGATGCGTCTATTTTGTGTCTGACACATTAAATATTGCATTTTAAAATACTGATTTATTTTTATATGCTAGCATACAGTATAAATAATAGAACAATATGACAGAGCATTTTCACGCACATGCAGTGTTTAGCACAGAAGAGCAGAATAAACTAAATAAAATGAATAAAATAAATAGGACTGCCCTAAATTATTTTTCACTTAAATAATTAATTATTACAAAAACGAAAATACTGACTGATTCTTTTTAATAACCGGCATAGGCTGTTTTTTTCCAATCATATGTTTTTTCTTCCGTCAAATAAAAAAAGCTGACTTCCTTAAATTGCTCGCTCCACGGAAAATATGCATTTATTTAATGCCCCGCTGTTATTATTATAATCACAAAACCTTTTACATTTTTAATAGAAATCATTATTTTAAAGAGTATGTCCTAATATATGGTTTCCTCTCTCCCTCGCAGTTCAAGTGCGCGCTGCGTGATGTAAAGACAATGACAACATGCGCATATGTTGACTTTTTGTAAACAGTTTTGTTGTTTAAATATGATATTGCATTAATGTGCATACATGCTTTATAAGCTGTAAAATAAAAGGTAAAGCCTATTTGTTGCATTTATGACGCAGATCCAGGTCAACATCAGCGCTGGTTTGGTATCAACACGTCTGTATCAAACAGCAATATTCTTCTTATATTTTGCTTCTTTGGCAAATGTGTCTGTAGGCACGGGTTATACACGTCATCGTCCCGCAAGTTAAGTATGTCTTGCAGTTGAACAAGGGGCCGAAAACAAGGCGCATCTCACTGCCTTTATGTTGACAAGGAAAAAAGAAGACTAGAAGCGCAACCGGTCCTCTTATGAAACGACTGAATCAGCTGGGTATCGATTATGCAAATGTGTTGCTGTCTGTGTTGTTACAATTGTAATATTTAATAATATTGTGATAATCAAGATTTGTACATTCATACAGCTCTGGATAACTTAAAACAGCGATTAGACCATCAGAGCAGTGTTAATGCGTTTTGAAGTAAAGCGAATCGGCTATAAACTCCAGCAAGATAGAGTGATTATATGCAGAGTCATATACCTTTATCTCTAAATAAAGTATAACTATAGAAACTGTGTTCATCTTAACTGAAAGCTTCTGCGTGTTTGCTGGCCTCACGCATCGCGCACCTGTCAGTCAGTCAGTCAGCACGTAACGCCAAAGGGTTAAACAGATAGCGCACAGCACTATACGGTTACAGAAAAGTTTGCGCTGTTATAATCCACTTACCTTTTAATATGTTTTGGTGCGATTATAATCCGCTATTAAAAACAACAACAATGACTGAATGTTTTGAATGGGTAATGTAGCTGTGGAGGGATGCATTTAGGTCCCCGCCAAGGAAGAATGAATGTAGTGGAAACCAAGCTCTTTAAAAGTTCTCTCTAGTTGTATTGACAACAAAAACTGCAAAAACAAAAAATGCTGCGCATACAATTGGCCTCTTATGCAGCCAAACTAAAAATATATAAAATAATATTTTTAATCATTTAACTGACAGCATTAATCGGTTACAAACGCACCCTTTCGGTTAACGGTTAATCGATTATTTTGAGCATCTCTAATTGTGCAGCCTTAAGTCATGCATTCTCAAAAGCAGATTATGAAATATCACAAAGATTATTACAGTACAAACAAACACCTGTTTTCACAAATCACATACTCAAATCCCAACTTTATCCTCTTTATAACTCTCCATTCAAATGTGTTGCTCAAAATAGAAGCTAGTATTAAATAGGCTAAAATTAGCAACGCATATGCCTATTGGCATGCTATGAATAATTATGGCATTATTTTGGTCCATTGAGGGCATTTTCAGATTATTCATCCTTACAGACACTAATACACTCATACACACACAGAAACATACTGTACACAGACACACAGAGACAATTCTTAAAGGTCCTACCAAAGCACAGAGTTTTTCCACAGCCTCCAATATAAGCTCTTGATGTCCAATTTTGTGAACTCCAATATTCTCCAGCCTGGAGGAAGAAAGCTGGAGCAGATCTGAGCCGGAGAGCTGCCATTCAGAGAATGGGTACTGCTGTAGAGGAGCATCCAGACCTGAGGAACACACACAAACAAATATCAGAGAGAAAAATAAACATAAATAACACAGAGACATTCAATATAATGAACAGTTTTAAAGTTTAAAGTTCATTACATAATGGCAGAAGTTACCGGGTGAGAATGTAAAGTATTATAATGATATAAATATTGTTATACTAAATGCTATAAGTAATAATAATATTAATATTATTACATATACAATACTGTATAATTAAAGCTTTTTTATGACAGAGGCGAAAAATACGTCAACTTTATTCTTAAATGCAGTCGATTCAATTGATTATCACAAGCTACTATAGACACTATATACCATTTTCTGCCTATTCATTTCCTGACTTTAAAATAAAAATGTAAATTTGGCTAATTTTGTTTATTATTAATTTCTTTGCATTAATTCACCATTTGTAAATTGATAATCCCTTTTCATTTTCAGAAATATAATTATGATGTATATTAAAAGTAGGACGTGTATAAAATATATATAAAATTGAACTGAATCAAAAATCAAAACAATGGAGTATCTGATTCTGAATAAATAGACAGCTTAAGATGTGTTGTTGTTATTATTATTATTACTATTATTTATTATTATTATTATTATTATTATTATTATGCATTAAATTGATTAACAGTATTAAAACTATGCTAGTAAAATTTTCTATTTAAAATAAAATCTATTTATTGGTTTACAAAGTGTTTAGATGTACCTCAATGTGCACTTATACAGTTATTTTATATATATATATATATATATATATATATATATATATATATATATATATATATATATATATATATATATATATATATATATATATATATATATATATTTATTTCCCCCTACTATAATTAAAGAGAAGGTAATATTTGAACTAAATTATCTAAAAATCAAATATTTACATTTTACTAATGAGCAGTGTGCAAAAATGCCATTACATTATGAAAGACAGGAAACAACACACACACACACACACACACACATGCACACACAACACACACACACACACAACACACACACACACACAATTCATATTAACTATTATGTCACATATGTAATTTGCATGTATTTCTGTATATCAGATTTCTATTTTTGGATCGGTGTTACCATCAGTCTGGTCTTGCGGATTTGGTCACAGGTTCTCCTCTACATCACAGTGGTGTTTTCATTACTTAAAAATCTTGGAAAGAACCTTCTGTCAATGTAAATCCAGTTCTGACATTGGTCAGCTGTGATTGGGCTTTCTTACATGCAGTACCGTAATGTCAAATATGAAAACATTGTCTGTAAAAGTGGTACATGGATGAAACAAAGAAACCATAAATATGTAATAAGGATAAATAAAAATAACATCTATAAATAATGTAGTCCAGTTGGGGGATCTTCTGTGTTGACTGATGTCATTTGATCTATCCTAAATCTTTCATCATCTAAGCATGTAATATTGTACATCAGTTTCTATGCACCAATAGTAATGCAAAGGTTATTTATCATTTTGACTGCTTGTATCAGTTGATAATAACATCATATTAAGTAAATGAATATGAATTTATTTTAATTTAAATGTTTGAGTTGCATTTTGAAATGGAATCAATTTGATGTTTAATTGTATTATATTGAAAAGGTGATCTTAGTTCAATGAGCAAAGTATATTTCACTTGTGCGAGTTGTATCTTACCATTTGAAATAAGAGTTAAGACTTTTGCAAAAACATACAATTTTGACAATGGTTGTGAATTTTGTGTCTAGAGTTTTGAAAATTGACACGAGAGTTCTGAAATTTGTGGCAAAAAATATTGAAAACAACTGTTATTATGAATTAATCAATATGCAGAACTAAGAATTTTCATCTACAAACTGTATATTTTAGTGTAAACTACTGCATGCTTGTGTCTGTGTGAAACTCCAAGCAGTGAACTTTCTGGGTTTAAGCTTATTTCTCAGAGCTGGTGAAACACAAAGGTTCTGGGCCCTGAAGGAAATTCCTTTGTGTAAGTTTTTTTTTTTTTTTTTTTTTAACACGCAATTACAACCACAGCCACAAGATCTCATAACTGTTTGACACTATTCTCTAGTCCAGACTCACTATACAGGTCGAGCATTTTACTATGATCCGTTCGACAAATATAACGTGTAATCTAATAGCATTGCAAAAGGCTTTCCTATCATTTATGATATTTTTATTCTGCTTTAAAGATTTCATAAACTGATCTCTGAAAAAGGATCCAAATGATCACAAGACAACCTAATGCCCCACATTTGTTACTAAGACAAACAAACAAGTCAGATGAGAGATGATACTATACTTGAAACATGGTTTCAGATGTTAAGAGATTCAGTAGAACCACAATAAAACTTTACAAATACATAATTTACAGTAAAATTATCACTGTTAATCATGTCTTCTAAACTAAAATGACATTTAAACAGGGACTTTTATCGACTTTTTTTTTTACTAGCTGGGAACTCTACATTGAATAGGAAATACTACAGTTGGCCTACATATAAAATAAGCCCATAAAATAACAGAAAATACTGGCAGCTGTATAGTGCTGAAGAATATTACATTAACTACTGAAAATTGCATATTTGAATGCAATTTAAAAGTGGTTAGTAGCTCGCTATTAACGTAACTACGAAATAATGAAGCGACACAAACACGGTTGTAAAGTAATAACATTGTGGCGAGGACGAGCGTTAAAGCGAAACGACAGAACGTGGGTCAGAAAATGAGCAACAGAGACATGCGCGCGCGTTCTGAGCGCTGTGGGCCTGTCTGAACTCGCCGAGAATGACAGCAGCAGATTTTATCGCTTTGCATAAGAGGAAAGACGCAACAACTCACTGCTATTTGTAAAGTGAAATCGCCACGGACTGACCAGCTGAGAGTTGGTTCCGGGCGAGCGTTCAACAACATACATTAATGCGCTTCCTCATTCCGCAAACACCTCCCGTTCCTTAAGGATTTGGGCTGTTCCTGTTTTTCGGCCATCTCTCTTTCGGTCTATCGACTGACACATAATCACCTGTCGGTCTTTAAAGACACAAACACATACATAAACACAGCCCGTACCTTTGAGCCACTCGGTGACTCTCTCTGTACTCCATGACGCTACGGGCTCCATGATCTTAGGAGCATGAATTGAAATCCCTGAAGTGGATCAGAGTAAAGAAAAGTTCATCCTGCTGTCCGCCTGGCACACCTTCTTCAGGTAAAGCTGCTCTCTCAGCCAATAGTGTGCGCCGCTGCCGTGCGCGCGCACTGCGCTCGTCTCGGTCAACAGGGAGGGGTTCACGAAACTCTTTATTATGTGTCCTGAAGCCTGAATCAGTTTACTCGGTTCGCCTGGATCCCTCCCTGAAAACTACCAAATGTTTTGATCAGCGTAATTAACCCTTTGAGACCTTTATCTCAGTCATTAATGGTAGATATACCATTTTTAAGTAAAAATATCTTAAAACAGTATACAATTTTTCCTTATTGGTTATGTACTGTAAAACCCAACAATCAATTTTATCAAATGAAATGAGTGCAGTTAACTCAATATTTAGTTAATTCTACTCATTTGAAAAGAGATTTGAACTCCGTGTTGAAGGTAATGAATTAATTAAATACCTCATTACTTCAACTCAAATGGAGTAAGTTCACAGATTAGTTTAAATGGTCAAATGGTTTGAGTTGCCTTAACTTATTGGGTTTTACAGTACTCAGTTGGTTTAAGTACATTTATTGTGTTTTACTATGCTCAAATTGCTTCGTTTACTCAAATGGATTAAGTTCACAGTACTCATTAGTATAGCATCAGTTTCCTCAAATAGGTTAAGTTACCTTAACTTTTTGGGTTTTACAGTGTACAAGACCACCTCAAATCAACAAAAACAAAAAAATAGCTGGTTTGAGTTAATTTTTTTTAGCAGTGCATAGTACTTCACTGTAGCGCCTCCTACTGCCTGTGTGATGAATTGATGTGAATGAATTTTCTTAATTTTCACAATAAAAGAAAAGTAACTTGGTTTATTGTTCAAACCAGATTGGACATGTAACACTATGCTCTCTTGGCTTCACTGAGCTCATATAAGGAATATAATCTATTCTTTTCATACAAATCCAGCATGTCGTAAACAGAGTGCATCTCTCTGTAGCTGCGGATACAATAACTCAGAGACCATATGATTCATGACATAGAGATATGGAGTAGATAATAGTGCAACATAAAAGAGCAGCCGCTTCAAAAGCAAAGCAAGTGCATGATTTGATTTGCATTCTATTGTAGAGCACAGAGGCGGACGAGTGGCCTTATGAAACGTATCCTTGAAGCTCTTGATAATAGTTTCACTGAGTTATGGCGGCATTGTGTGCACAGAGATGACCTGACCTTAAAATGTATCATTGAAAACATCCTTTGTTCTCAACTTCGGACTAAACATTCATAAGCAATGCTGTGTTGTGAAAAGGTCTAAACTTGAAGTTCGGATGTCGCTTTTAAAATTAGAAATAATTTATGCACAATACAATAATATGGGAATGGTTGATTTGTGAAAAAATTACTTCAGTAAAAGAATTTGGTTGATGTAATATTTATATAGTACCATCACATGTATTGGCTTTCAGATCTCATGAGCAGCAGTTTGCTGGAGATCTCTTAGAGAGTCCCTGCAGGGTTTCATCCTCCTGCTCAAGCTGCAAGGAAATAGCCAAATACCATTCAGTCTTTTGCGTGTCTGAACACATCGAGTTCTTCATGTTTACAATGGTAAATGAAAGAAATGAGAATCACAGTTTTGCCTGCACACTTGCCAAATCTAAAGTAGATCCAGATACATTTCACATCACCCAGAGTTCTACATTAACTTCCATATAAATCTACAACAGTGCATGAGGATCACAGACCTTTTCTGGTTTAAAATATTTCTGTTTTAAAGTGTCCCTACTATGCTTTTTTGTATACCTTGCATTCACGTGTGTGATATTGGTGTTTGTAAATTCATTCATTCATTCATTCATTCATTCATTCATTCATTCATTCATTCATTCATTCTCTTTTCGGTTTAGATCCCTTTTATTAATGTGGGGTCACCACAGGGAAATGAATCGCCAACCTATCCAGCATATGTTTTACACAAAACAGTTTGTTAAATAATATTGTCTGTATTTTAGTCAGTAGATGTACTATATGGAAGACATACTTTGTTTACTAAACAATTCTTTTTGATTTGCATTGTAATGTAACCCGTAAATAAAAGTTTAAAAGTTATTATTTTTACTTCATGTTTTAGGCTTTCAGTTACTTAATTCTTTCATTTTCTTTTTGGCTTAGTCCCTTTATTTATCAGAGGTCGCCACAGTGAAATAAACCGCCAAATTATCCATCATATGTTTTACGCAGTGGATACCCTTCCAGCTGCAACCAATCACTGGGAAACATCCATATACACTCTTTCACACACATACACTACAACAAATTTATCCTACCCAATTCACCTAGACCACGTCTTTGGACTTGTGCGGGAAACCGGAGCACCCCAAGGAAACATGAACACGGGGAGAACATGCAAACTCCACAGAGAAATGCCAACTGACCATGCTTGAACCAGCGAACTTCTTGCTGTGAGGTGACTGTGCAACATTCTGTGCCACCATGATGTGTTTGTGAATGTAAAAGCTAAAAGATCTTCTGGATGAATAAACATTTTTTCTTCTCAAAGAAAAAAATTTCCATCATAAATAATTTGTTGTTTTTTTGGGACAAACTAATTGTTTTATGTTCATTCGACTTGATTTTGTATAAACTAATAAGTTAGCATAATTGTTGTCCCAATGTTGTTCCAACTTAAATCTATTGTGAGGAACCAAGCATTTTTTACAGTGTATTGAGGCTTGTAATTTTTATATTAATCACAGTGATCACAGACAATTTACTTCTCTAAATAACAATCATATAGGTTGTTTGTGCACGCAGCTGATTATGACCTAAACTAATTTTTAAAGTTAAGCACCTTCTGGTGTAGAAAATAATGACAGTGTTGTATTATATACCATCATTAAATTACATCTGACTGCTTTTAACAATCAAAATGCATATTTACTTAAACAAAATCTAGAAGACAGGCCTTTTTTTTCTAATTTTAAATTTACAAAATCTTTATTTACGCATTTGAAAGAGGCTTTGGAAGACAATTAAAATAATCCAAGTTTTTTGATATCTGAAATGAACATACAACAAATAAAAATGTATTATTATTATTATTATTATTATAAAAAAACTGCAGATTTTTGAAATGTTGTAGCAAACAACAAAAACAAGGATTTAACCATTTTTATTCATTTGTTTGGAGTATTTCATGTACAATGCTTTTTTTGTTTGTGTTTGTGTTTGCTTTATATGTATGCTTGATTTATTGAAACTAACTCACAGAGATCCATGTTTACCTTGTTTTTCACAAAATTGCATAAAGCTGCTGAAAATATGTAATTGCAATTGTTCGGACAGATGTTTCTTTTCGATTTGCGATTTAATTTGTTAAGTCAAGCTTTAGTTCAATACTTTTAATATATAATATTTATAATTTTATATATAATAATACTTTTAATATATAGCACACACTTTAAATAAAAAGAATACAACACACTAACTGTACTAACTAACTGTATGTATATATGTATATTTATATATATACACATATATTGTTACCTTTCTATATAAACATGCATTTTCATAATAACTTTAAAAATGATAATCAATCATGGTTTTAATGAAAATAAAAAACTAAAACGTCAAAAATAATCGTCAGAAAGTTTACTGTGGTTTACCTTGAAATCGGTAATCATGAAAACACTATACTTTAGTAAACGTTGAGTCGTATTTTAGGAAAATGAGAACCTATAGAGTTAGATACATTGGAGGACAAATTAAACATTCACTAAAGCTGTTAAATGAATAAGAGAATACACAAGAGCCAGGATTTCAGTCCATGAGTGTGCACCAATCACAGCAAAGTAGACAGTCTGAGCACAGAAGCGTTGTGTGGAAAGGCAGGGCTTAGAAAGAACAAATCTCTAAACCAATAGTTTCATAGACTTGCATGCCATGTAGATGTATATAAACATTTCACTCCAAAAGCAAATTTGGAAGCACTGTTAATCTATTGACTCAAAGTGAGGTTGTTTCTTCCCGATTTGATATTCCTGATTAACCAATAAACTCTACCTTCACTTCCTCATCACTCTGAATCTCAAGTAAACAGCTTTAGTGATGTAAGCTTTCATATGAATGCTCACATCAAACAGGGCCTGATTCAATCTGTGTTTTTCATAATTAGTGTTTGCTGGTTATTTCCCTCAAGGTGGCTGCTAGGAAAAGACTAATTATGCAACGCAGAAGCAAATGAAATCCCACCTGGCAGAAAGACAGTGTGAGGACACTGAAACACTCCTTGATGGCACAAAAATTGCTAATTTTTAGCGCCCTCTCTCTTTTGCTACTTCCCAAGAGAAGCTCAGCAGTTTCATTTTAATCTACGCTAATGTATTCAAATGGGCTGTAAGTTACTTTGCCGGTTCTGGTTTTGCATAACATTTTAAGGCAGCTGTATTGTGTGTTTTGCAAACCAAATATATTTAATGCACAAGATGGCGCATATTTTTGATTTAGGAGATTTATTGCTTTTTCCACATCTACCAACGAAGGTCTCTGTAGCTAAAGTAGCATATTCACAATGGAAGTTTATACTGTGCATGGACTGCTCAACTATATTTGCCACAATATGGAGCATAAAAGGCAACCATGATCAACTGAATGCCAAATGTCAAAATGCAATGTGTTCAACTTGACGTTCCATTGCCGGAGTAATGAATGAACTGGAATCTCACCACAACCGCACAATGTCTCCTTAAGGATTATGTGGAAGTCCAGAGCACAACATTAAATAGGCATCAATGAAATATTACTCTATGAGACTGGAAGAACATTTTCTGACAGCTTGACATGTTTTTTTACATATATTTTTCAGAGTATTAAAAATAGTTTTAAAACCAATAGTGTCCAAAAAAACCTAATCAAATTATGTGTCCTTGAAACTGGAATGATGTTTGAATACAATTTCTTAATTTTTGGACACAACCCAAGCATGTTTGTAACTTATTATTTAATTGGACTGCTTACAATATTTTAGCATAAAATTATCTTAGAAATGCAACATTTTAGAAATGACAACCTAGTCCAATGTACTG